GCATTCAACTCAGATGGCAATTGTCCTCCATCTGTGGGAAAGAGCTGCCACATGACTCTTTGTCACGCTGACAGACATTTAAATTCACTTTGTGCTAAGTTAATGAAGAAGAAAAAAAACAACATACCAAATCCTGTCAGTGGGTGGAGGAGGGATGTTGACAGCTAGTGTTCCCTGGAGTTCCTGCAGCTCCACAGTGAGAAGAAGAGGTGTGTTAGACACTTCCTCCATTTTCTTCTTGATGAACTCTGTTTCTGTGGCCTTCTGGAAGTATTTGGACTTTGTGATCTTGTCCACGAACCGCATGATTTTACTGGGTTTGTGACCTCCAACAAATCTTTATTTCAGAAGGGAAGATACAAATGTAGAGTAGCTGTTAATGATGCGTGTAAAAATAAATTGATTTTTTTTAAATTGATAAATTAATCCCTAAAGCTGCCAACATATTGTTGGGGTTAATTATGTCCCAGTTGAAATGATTAAGTCAGTATACAACTCAAACAAAAAAACATTTACATTCAGTTTAACATTTATAAAGGCCCCCCCATAACAGCTGGGTTTTGTAAAGTCCAATGATGGTTTTTGTATGTACTGTGATTTCTGGATGTCTCATGTTTTATATTCAACAACAACAAAAACATCTGAATTATATCTGTTCCTCTCTTTTCCATCCTCTCTAGACAAGACTATACTGAGAGTGTCCAGAAAGTCTGTCTCACCCCTCTGCTCCTGCAGAGTCATTTGAGAGCTCTGACATGTCTTCCTCATCTGAGGATCCAGCGCTGGAGGACTCTTCATCACTATCAGCTAAGCAGTAAGTCCTCGGCCTGTATCTGGACACACAGAAATATACATGTAAGAAAAGAAGATTGTGAACACACACAAACACACACACCACCAAACACATCTGAATGTATGCAGTAAGACATTCACAAGGTCCTATGTGTTTACTTAGAACTAGTGCCACATTTCTATAGTAAAGCTAACAAAGAGAGGTATCGTTGCATAACTCGGGCAGTTCAAATGCACGTTTGTTAAACATTTTTAGAAACATTACATTTATGAATAAGAATTTATTAAGATAGTTTTAAAAACCAAGCGGGTCCAGTTTGGTTCAGTGCAGTTTGGTAAAGTTGGGTACGTTAAAGCCTGATCTTGCTTGCGTTTCCGCAGCCAACCGTACCTTTATTATGGTAAGCGCAGTGTAAGCCAGATTTGAAATAGCCATAGTCAGCTACAGAATAGTGTGACATCATAACAGCCCAACACAGTGTAGGCCGCTATTAATGAAGTTCAACGAAGAAGAACACAGTAAACAAAAGGGACCCTTTAGGGTCCGATCGGCACCCCAACAGAAGGGTACCAAAAAAATAGGACCGTACGGATCCCTTAGTTTGGTACCATTCCCAACTTTTGATGGTGGAAATGCCAATAAATGGGTACCGTACTGAACTGAACCAGACCGCCTGGTGGAAACGGGGCTAAACTGACACATCGACTGCATACTAAACCTGTTTCCTGGTTGAAACTGGCAGAAAGGAAGTTATGTCTTATGCAAGAGCCTCCAGAGATCTATACTGCACTCACTCTCTGTAATCTAAGCAGTATGACAGATGAGGCAGAGTGCATCTCTCCTGTATCTACTCCTCCTTTGTTGAGGATCAAATTTGTAAACACAGAAACACTGATACATTAAGAAATAAAAAAGTGTTAGGTGGTTTCATAAAATGAGAAAAGACTGTAGACATACAAATAAAAGAACGAGACATGAGCAGTATATTTATTGTTTTTAGAATCATGCAGCACTCACCGAGAGCAGGAATACACCCATTTAGCAGTTGTGTTAAAGGCAGAATCCAACCAGAGAGGAAGCAGCAGTGAAGAGAGAAGAGAGTGTAGAGAAGACAGCAAAGATATAGAAAACAAGAGTGAGCCAGACAGAATGTACAGATTAATATAGGTAGAGCAGAAAAAACAGGTAGAGCAGAAAAAAGGTCTTAAATCATTCAACTGAAAAAAATGAACCTTGATTTATTTTTTAAGAATGTGTCCGTCATCTAGAAGACTTTGACTGTCTTACCCATCTTTGCCAAATTCTCCTAAGCGGACACTCTCTCCCTCCTTGCCCAGGCGGATGAGGTTCATCTTGGTTTCCAGGGTCATCAGGAAGGAGCCGCTGTAGGAGAGCTCCAGGTCAAACCACAGACCTGAAGGGAAGCACAATAGTTTCATGAAATGTTTATCTGAGAGAACATGACAGAAGTGAAACTACAGCAGGGGGGAAGGTCCACAGAAATGAGACTGATTTACAGTAAACGCTGTACTCATCAGTGATGATACTTTAGTGACAGATCCCGTTTATCTCATGTTCAATGCAGTTCAGGCCACTTCCCTTCTCTTGTATGTTGAATCTCTCGCTCTGTCTTACTCCTTTGTTTCCACATTTATTCTTAGGCTCTACCCCTTGCTGTCTTGCATTTTCTGTGACGCCATTCTCTTGCACCCCCCCCCAAGCATCCTAGAAGTTGAGACCCCAACAGATTTGATTTTCTTGATCCATCCACTAAAACGAGAAATACTCCGCCAAAGAGTCTGTGAAGGAGCAGATCACAAGGTCCTTTGAACAGAGGGGAAACAGTTGGGGAGCACACAATCTCCCCCCTAGCCCCCTTTTGATATCAGCAGGCAGGGGGGGGGGGGGCTGGCTGCGTACACAGCTCTAGCTCGCTCGCTCTCTTTTTCCCTGCTTTGTCCTCTACTTTACCAAAACTTGCTATAATCTGGATAACATAAACCCTCCCCCAACAGCCTCAATCCAACCCCTGACAAACTTTGGGCGGGCTTTACATGCTACACACTTTTTATTTTTCTTCTTTTTGTTCAACACAGGATCACATGCTCTTGCATACAAAGAGCCCAAAAATAAACATGACTACCATGGTGTTTCTTCCTTGCACCACTGGGAGGCAGCAAAGGACAAAGGATTTAAAAAAACAGGTTAAAAGAAGGAATTCAAAGCACATTGTATGGAACGTGGTTTAAATCAAGAAACATGAATGTATACCATGCAAAGTCTAGACAATGAGTACAAACATATAGAACATCATTAAGTGCACAGTAACACAAGTTTTTTCTAATATTTAGATATCTTACTTAACAACAGTTCACATGGCCGAGGAGTATAGGGTACAGAACCAGGTGACTCCAGGTTTCTCTTTGGGTCCATGAGAAAATAGTTTCAAGAAACTGTTGCTATTGTGCCAACATCTGTGGTTTAAAACACACAGCACTAGAAGAGGTCCCTGAAACTGAATGCTCCGTTAAGTCCTGAAACCCCAGTTGGTTGTGCAAAATGATGAGATCATGCAAAGAGTGTCACAGGGTGAAAGAAAGTCAGAGAGAAACAGAGTTCTGCTAAAGTTAAAGCAGAGAATAACTTGGAGAAAGAATAAATAAAAACAGAGGGTTCAAAAATTCAGTTTGACTATGGAACAAAGACACAGTTTGAACTGTCTGAGTCTGCCCAACGTGGTGGGCTTTGCTGCACCTGCCTGCCTGTTCATTGTGAGGTGGTAGATAAAATGACTGTGTCTAGATGGGTTTAGGTTTGTTGGAGGAAAGGATTGAAAAGCCTGGGTGCAAGCTGGGGGGGGGGGGGCAGTGGTGTAGTGCTTCCTTAAATAGGGTAGAAGCACACTGCAGGAGTTAGGGTTGTGCATCCATCAAAGAAATACAGGGTTACCACTGTTATGCAATTAGCAATGGGCACTAAATCAAAAGTACAAGTGCCCATGCCATGTAGAGATTCGCACACAGACACACACAGCTGGAGAGGTTCATTGATCCAATGCACTCAGCATGTTTATTCCAGGAAAGGAAGCGGGGTGAGACGAGGCAAAGGCAGAACCTGAGACGCTTGGAAGATACAACCATTGTAATTCTAGTGGAAATTTAAAAAAAATGAATCAAAACTGACCAGAAAGTTTTCAATTATCAAGTCTAGTTATGATCGAAATACACAACATAAAATAGGAATAACAGGATTTCAGAGCATATACCTCTACCTTCTGTGTAGAGGGCGGCAATCAGAAGCTGATGACCTCTCAGCAACATCAACATTAGGGTAGCTTTAGTACACAGGGTTCCTTTAAAGTGGCTGTTGAAGTGTGTTTTGCCTGGAACAGCTCCAACAAATGACATCTCAGTTGGAGATGCAATCAATTCCTGCTCTGATTATAGGGTAATGTGAGTGCTGCCGGGATAAAAAAGCCAGTGACTCACAGCATTGGGGGGGGCAGTGAGACTAAAGAGTGAGTAAGGACACAAAGAGGAAGATGAAATGAAAAGGGAAAGAGAGAAAACAGGGAAGACAGTCAGAGACATGTGAAACGGACGATGAGACAGATCTGTTGCAGGATAAAGAGAGAAGAGGAAAAAAAATATTGCATGAAGGGATTGAAAGCTCAGTGCTGACTCAGAGCTGAATGACCATCGAGTGACTCCTTCAAATGACAAACACAGCTCCCACTGATCAAAAAATAGAACACAGTTTGCTTCAAAGTTCAGCTTTTATTTTAGGCAAAATATCAGTGGTATTGCTCCAAGCAAATGTACAGTCCATCACAAAGCTGAGACCTCACATAGCTAAGCCTCCACAGATAACCATAAGACCTACTAAAGTGCTTAGGGCTGGATTGTATTGTACTCAGCTTAGAGCTCACTAACCAATCAAATTTGGTTATACCTCTGAAACTGCATTTAAAAAAAACATATCGAGAGCGTTGTTTTCAAAGAGCTTCAGTACAACTTTCCTCCAATAGAGGAGTTTGAGTCATATTTTTAAACACACACCTTTTGTAACACAATCCAAAAAAAACAATCCTATCCGTGATCAAAATCTGTTCCAATCCAAACAGTGGGATTTAAGATCTGTGACACCACTAGAGATGAATCCTAACAGGACGATGACATAACACTCTGCCTTTTATTACTCTCTGCACTTTCATTACTTGTTTGTGATGTCTGCTCTGATGGTTATATGTGTAAGCACTTCAGCTTGCACAGAATGGTTTTCATTGGATGAATACAGCTGCTGCTTTTTTTAGAATAAAAGCATATTTTTGCATTCAGACATTGCTGTAGTAACATGATTTTATTAATCACAACAAGAAGATTAAAAAAAATAAAAGGCGGCGTTACCAGTCTTTAGACAAAAGGCCACTTCTGCCCATGTCAGAAGATTGCAAAAGTATTGTCCCAATTTGAGAGTTTATACTCCTTGTCGTGCTGCAAGATCGTGAAATAGAAAACAATATCTTGTATTTTGGAAAGATTTTGACAATGCTCTAATTCTTGTTATGAAAAGTAATTTAGGTAACTAAAAATAAAATCTCAGAGACCGAGAAAGCAACGGTCAACAACTGTTACAATGCAGAATGTGAAATGTACACTCAAAACAATACATTTATGTTAGATAAGTCTTTTTTTAATCTGATAAATGTATTTGCTCTCTGCTCGGCTTGATCAAATAAAGTCATCTCACCTTTTTTTAAAACCTCAGATTATTCAAGCAGTTTTTTCCACTGAGGGATACAAATTGTGAAATGTGGCATGACTCTTGCTTTTTAAGAAGCTTTGTTTTGTTTACTCCGTATACTGGAGGATCCAGCCAAGCTGTTCCGAGATAACAAGTGAACCTTAAACCGCCATGAACTGACCCCACCCCCTTTCATAATAAGAATTAGAATAATGTGACTAGGCGAGCCTTCTATTTCCTCATTGATTTCTATTTTTCCTTGTTTTATTTTAGTATAATTCAATTCAAAATATTGCTGACAAAAAACAGACATAAGATATAGAAGTTAAGCCTCTGCAAAGATGTTGTTGTATTGCTGCATCTATCCAAAGCACTTTGAAATAACACCACCAAACAAGCCAATGTCTTGTCCAAGGATGCTTGGACACACAAACAGAACAATCGGGATTGAACAACTCTACCTCCTGTCCATCTCATCTGGGGTGTACACTGAGTGTTTAAATACTAGCTTGGAAATCAAAGCCAATCTAAATGTTGTGCATGGAAGTTGAATACTTACGTGTTGCATGTGTGAAAATGTTACTTCCTTTAATGACCTTGTTACTTTGTAAATGGCTAAATGTTTAGCCTTTCCAATAAAGACTTTTAACAGCAGCTTAGAAAATCTCTCTGAAAATCTCTCTGCTTTGTTGGGAGAATAATTCATGTTCAGCATTAACACATTGGCTACACATTAGAATTGAACACAGAAGCTAATTATTTGTGTAGTGTATTTCCATGTGATGGAATACAAGCATGTGTGCTAACTGCTACCTCACAAATGCAGTGAGGGGGATGGGCAGGGTGCAAGTTCATCACCTCAAAAACACTATTTCCTCTAACACTTCTTAACTCTGAGTAAACTCCATGAAAACACATCAGTGAAAACAAACTAGCCTTACCACGTGTTTGGCTTCATTATCTCTAATATGTAACTAACTCACCAGAGGGGTGTCACGTTCAAACAATGATCATCTAAATGAGCTCTGTGCAGAAATACATATTGTACAATTAATCAGAACTTCCCAGAATAGCAAACATATACCTCAATGCACCGATCACATCGTGTAAGTAGCCAGACATACCAGTATCTCTCTTCAGTAACAGCTGAGTATGTGTGTGTTTTTTGGCCTTCATGATTTTTCTCTTACCTCGGTAGTCAATGGAGGGTTTGGACGCCCGGAGAATTCTGGGAGTGGCTGAGCCCATGTCCAGTTCTGTCAGGGTTAGCTCATTCATGAAATATGGTAACTGAAAACACAGAAAAGTATACAACTCATCTGAGCACACTGTACATAAAGTATTCAAGTGTATGAAGTTAAATAATCAATGATGAAAAAAAAAAAGCCCTAAAGTATGGAAAGCCGATTGAAGATTTAATAGATATCCTTGATATCAAAGCTCAGTTTCCTGTACTAGTCAAGTCTTTGGCCGCACTAGTTTACTAGTAGAACGTTGAAAGACTTACTAGTAAACTAATAGAAGGCAAAAAGTCCTACATGTTAACTAGTAAGGTGCAAAATATCTACTAGTTAACTAGTAAGATATATTTTGTGTCTACTAGTTAACTAGTGAGCCTAAAAATGTTTACTAGTTAACTAGTAAGAGCCAAAATGTCCACTAGTAAGCTAGAAAGGCATATATATGGACCATACTAGCTAACTAGTTAGGATAAAAAGTTTTTACAAGTTAACTAGTAAGAGCAGAAAGGTCCACTAGTTGTACTAGAGATGGCTTTATTAGTCTTACTAGTTAACTAGTGCGGCTCTAAATGTTCACTAGTTAACTAGTAAGAGAACAAATGTCCACTAGTTGCACTAGTATCATCTTTACAAGTCGTACTAGTTAACTAGTGAGACTTAAATATTTTACTAGTAAACTAGCTAGAACTAAAATGTCACTAGTAACACTTGTTGCACAAAATGGTAACGAGGAGGTGGGGGATAAGTGTGGATTGAGGCTTATGATAGGCTCTAAAAATCAAGAACAAAAAAAACATCAAATCAGGACCCAGGATTTGGTTATAATCCCACCCACTGCATTTACATATTGCACACTAGTCAACTAGTTGGATTGCAGGATTAGAACTATCTTACTAGTCGATATCTGTTTTCATTTTACTAGTTAACTAGTTAGACACAAATGCTAACTAGTTAACTAGTTAATCTCATAATGGTAACTAGTAACACTAGTGAAGATGCATTTTACCTTTCTAGGTCACTAGTAAGATAAAATGTGTCAACTAGTAACACTAGTTGGAATATTTTTAAACCTACTAGTTAACTAGTGAGGCTCGGAAACGTTTACTAGTTAACATGTAGCAGCTAAAATGTCAACTAGTCACACTACTGAGGGCGGTTTTAACCTTACTAGTTTACTAGTAAAGCCCTATACAGTTTACGAGTAAACTAGTAAGTGCCTTTTTGTCCACTAGTTAAACTAGCTAGTGTCTTTTTGGCCTCACTAGTAAACTAGTTGCAGACAAAACAGCATACTAGTGGACATTTGCTTTTGACTAGTAAACTAGTTGAATGATATAATTTGACAAGTTTACATGCTGAACAGTTAAAACCCTTTACTAGTTAACTAGTTGAACACAGATGTCAACTAGTAGTCTGATCTGTTGACTACTAGTTAACTTGTGACTGACAATTTATCTAACTAGTTAACTAGTACTGCCAAAAAGACCCTTACTAGTACAACTAGTGGACATTTTGCAATTACTTATTAACTAGTTAACTGTGTTTGGCCTCACTAGTTAACTAGCAAGGTCACACATGGTCTAACTGGTAAACTAGTGGACATTTTGACTCGTTCTAGTTAACTAGTATGCATTTAAAGCCTCACTAGTTTACTAGTAAGGCCTTGAAGACCAAAGTAGTGTTACTAGTGTGCATTTTTCTTTCACTAGTACTACTAGTAAACATCTTGAGCCCTACTTGTTAACTAGTAAGGTCAATTAGACTGCAACTAGTGGTACTAGTGACATTTATGCCCTTAGTAATAAACTAGTTAAGCTTTTTGAACATCATTAGTTTACTAGTAAAGTCGAAATGTGTTTTACAAGTGTAACTAGTGGACATTTGGTCCTTACTAGTTTACTTGTAAATGTCAACTGGCAGTCCACTAGTAGTACTAGTAGCACTAGTTGACCGCATGATAATGAAGCAGGCGGGACAAGGATTTTGATTGGTCAATGTCAAACCTGCGATTTTGCCAGCCTTAAAGGGCCAGATCTGAATAGTACCTTCGGTTAAACCAGCACTAATTTCTGAAGGTTTGTTCATTTGTGTCATGTTATATTATCACTAAATGGTAACTCACTGAATGCCCTTTGATAGAATTTTATGACCCATGCACAGATTAAATCCAAATCTGATGTTACATTGTTATTCATCTTTTCAACTTTTTTGTTTTTTAAACTTAGTATTATTTGTTCTAAAAATCACTAATGATTATTCATTATTGCAGTATTTGTCAAAAAATAAACAATAACCCATCACTTAATATTTATATATAGTAGTATGATTGAATAAAATAAAATCTTGCACAACATTAATGTTCAAGGATTTTAGCTTTTTTCTTGCCATTGAAAATATGGCAATATAAAATATGAAAGATATACTAGTTTGAAACTTGCAAAGTGAAAAATTAAGTATATTCTTTTTAAATCATGAAAGAAATGTGTTTATATTTAGTTTATCTGCTAGATGATCATGCAAAATATTGAATAAAATATTAGGATTTAGGACAAGTGTATACTGAATTATTAAACTAATGTGAATAAGATGTTTTAATGTTTTTTTTATAAATATAAAGTCAGCCTCTTACATCTGGAGAAATAACCCTTATACAAGAAGTAGCTGCAGAGAGATATGCATTTCGGCCATTAGGTGTCAGTTGCAGGATCGGTATGTTATGGACTTGCTAAATTTTCTTGGTTTAGCTTCGAGTAAGCCCAGCAGAAAAGATACATATGGCAGTGAGCAGATATAAGTGCACAAGCAACATACATTAAGATTTATTTTATCATATGAGGAGTCATGTTTTTATGATTAAAGCATAAAATTAAGATACTACTTGCAAATGCCCACCAGATGGTGCTATACTTATATATGCTGCTAATGTGTACAGTACTAGTACTACTAGTGGACATTTAGGCTCTTACTAGTAGCACTAGTAGTACTAGTAGCACTAGTTGCACTAGTTGCACTAGTAGTACTAGTAGCACTAGTTGTACTAGTAGCACTAGTACTACTAGTGCGACTAGTGCGACTAGTGCTACTAGTAAGAGCCTAAATGTCCACTAGTAGTACTAGTGCTACTAGTACTACTAGTGCGACTAGTGCGACTAGTGCTACTAGTAAGAGCCTAAATGTCCACTAGTAGTACTAGTGCTACTAGTACTACTAGTGCGACTAGTGCGACTAGTGCTACTAGTAAGAGCCTAAATGTCCACTAGTAGTACTAGTGCTACTAGTACTACTAGTGCGACTAGTGCGACTAGTGCTACTAGTGCTACTAGTGCGACTAGTGCGACTAGTGCTACTAGTCGCACTAGTAAAGGCCTAAATGTCAACTAGTAGTACTAGTACTGTAGACAGTATATGTACGTATAGCACCATCTGTGGGGCATTTGCAAATAGTACAATTTTTAACCTTTACTGTACATGATAAAATTAAATTTTTAGGGCTCATTTATACAATGGAGTAGAGCCATCTTAAAGAAAAAAAGAGAAAATATTAATCTTGTATATGTACGAGAATAAACATGTAAATTTAGGAGAATAAAAAAAATGATGAAAGGAGAACCCCTAAAGCATTTTCCTCTGCCACAAAAGAGACAGTTTCATCCAAGTCAGTGTGGTTTTTTCTTTGGAAAATTACAGTTGCTTCCAGTATCTTTTCAGGGTCCTAATATTTTATGACAATGTGATGATGATGTGCTGATAAAACAACTTATCGGATATATTTGTCAAACTGTTTTTACAGACTACACAAGGAAGGAGCCTATTTCCTTATTTGTCAAACCTTTACTATAACAAGATGCTCCACGTTTATCATTTTCGAACAGGCGGCTCCTGCTCTTCTGATATACCAATATATTCTACTATTATATTATATAATATATTATATGTTCAAGTATTCAGCTGTTTTATGAAGGGAAATGTTTAAACTATTTAAGAAAATACTAAAGGGGACTTTGTCTCAATCATAAACAGTGTAGAGTATTTTAGTGTTTTTAGTTTTTTTATTTTTAGTCTCAAATGCAGCCTCAAAGGCTGATGTAGCTGCAACTAAACCTGAGATGAAAGATAATCCATTTATTGTTTTAAAATGAACCTGTATGAGCTTAAATATTAGATGTTTTAGTCTCTGTTTGTTTACCTATTAAATACTGAAGCTTCTAACTGAATCTTCTTGGTTTTAAGTATTTATTTTCACACATCTGAGATATGTTAAGTTGCAGCTGCTTACAAGACCCAACTTCCTCATTCATCTGCTTCAAAATAAAAGCACATCACATAGATGGTAATAAGGGACTTTTATTGTGAAAGACTTTCCGGAACTAAATGCGTTTATCACTCGGAGCTGCAGCGGCGATTGTAGTTGCGAAGGCTGTAGTGAGAAAGAGTACTCAGCCACTTCCTTGCCCAAGAGTTAGAGCCACAGCCAACTTATTTGAATCATCTTGGACTTAAGACAATGAGACATCAGTTTATAAACACCTTCAGCAGGTAGACCCACAGTAGTGGAGGTGCTTATCCGTGCTAGCTGAAGTGGCACCGAGCCAAGAAAAGGGTCTCTGTCTGTCTGTCTGTCTCTCTCTCTCTCTCTCTCTTTCTCTCTGTCTCTGTCTACGACTAGTGCTACTAGTGCGACTAGTGTGACTAGTGCTACTAGTGCAACTAGTGCGACTAGTACGACTAGTGCAACTAGTGCTACTAGTGCGACTAGTGCGACTAGTGCTACTAGTACAACTAGTGTGACTAGTGCTACTAGTGTGACTAGTGCTACTAGTGCGACTAGTGTGACTAGTGCTACTAGTACAACTAGTGTGACTAGTGCTACTAGTGTGACTAGTGCTACTAGTACGACTAGTGTGACTAGTGCTACTAGTACAACTAGTGTGACTAGTGCTACTAGTGTGACTAGTGCTACTAGTGCAACTAGTAGCACTAGTAAAGGCCTAAATGTCAACTAGTAGTACTAGTACTGTAGACATTAGCAGTATATATACGTATAGC